TTCTTTACACAAAGAGCTATGTTAAACTCTAGCAGGAAGTGCTTAGATAGGGTTCCACTCACAGGCAGATATGAAGAAGAGTAAAAAGGTCTCTCTCTTTCTCTTTCCAGTAGCCACTGAAGTCCAAAATGAAGGACAAAACTAACTACTTGCAAGGCTCTCCTTTCTGCAAAAGAAATCATATCCCGGAATTAAAAGATGGATGAAGAGAAAAGGCTAACATAACAAGAAGCTCTTTGGCATTCTCTAATAAGACATTCAGTACAGCCCAAGCAGTGCAGAGTTAACTGCATCCCTATAGCCAGCCCCAGAACTACTATGTTAAAACCCTTAAAGCAAAGGAAGCCGGCAGGCTGCTGCTTCTGGGTTGAGGCGAGGTCGTTCTGTGCTTCGCCTCTTCTCATGATGGCCAGCTACAGGACAGTCTTTTTATAGGCATAGGTAGCTTTTCAGAGGCTGATTGTTGTTTCTGCCATCCTGGAAAGTGGGGGCTACCTTGACACTTTTGATCCTCGTTGTGATGTTATGTCTCTACTGTATGACTTTCTTTACTTACTTACAAAATGAAATTAATAAAGGCAATACAACCATTTTTGAAGGCAATATCCTTCACATAAAGAAAGTTTCAGGCAGACAAAGTCTCAGACACTCAAAGACAATAATTAGTCATCCAAAAACTTTGTGAGATACATGTGTGATAACAGTATCCCCATTTGTTAAATAAATGTGGAGTTATAGGCACAGAAAGGTAAGTTGAGAACCTGAAACAATCTTGTGATTCTTCTTTGAATATTATTTTATTTAGTTATTTAGAGAACAAAGAGTTCAAAGGACGCGGGAGAAGCAGAATCAAAGGCAGTGACTGATAAGTCTTTGGGGTAGTAAAACCACTGGGATGGCTCTCAGGGTGTCCCCTCCCTATCTAAAAAGTACTGAGTGGCAAATTTTTTCAAGTTTAAGTTAAAAAGAATTGATTTTTTGGGGGGTTGTGTTTTGTAGTTTTATATCTGATAATACTCTTGAAACTCATTAGCAATATTCTGGAATACAGAAAATGCAGAAATAGCTTTATCTGCACTCAGAAGTTCAGTTATTCCTTGGGGACAGAGTCTTCTCTTCTATT